TATATTTTCTTTTAATATGTTATCATCTCTAACATTTTTATGAAATATAAATAACAGTGTGTAATAATCCTCCAATTCCAATTGTTTGATTCGTAATACTTCCAAGTCGTTCTTTAAAAGCATTTGGGAAATTGATTCAAAAAACACATCAGCAATTCATTAAAAAAGTCGTCAATTGAACAAAACTACGTACAGATAATAGTTGCTCAAAGCGGCTTTCAGCGCTGCCATCTAGCGGCGTAATATGAAAGCTGTTTTTATCACAAAGTTTGCCAAACGCTTTTTTGAGGTATAGAAATTTTTTGGGGTATAGAAAATTTTTTGAGATATAGAAAAATTTTTGAGGTATAGAATTTTTTGAATATTAATAAAAACTTTTATATATATATAAAAAAAATAAAAATATTTTATAAAAATTATATATATACAATATATAAAATACAGTATATAAAATTTTTATAAATACATACAAATTATATAAATATTTGCAAATAATATATATATATCAGAAAAATTAATTATGTCCTGAACGGCGCCTCATAAGAAAATATGACAATTATATAAAAACGAATTTCTTGAAAATGTGTTAAAAATAAATAGCAGCTCTCAGCTTGTTTTTTTTTTAAGGAAACAACCCAGAACTCACTACGAGGAGGTGGCTGAACGTTGAGTTCCACCCTAGCCGTCCCACCAAAAACAAGAAATTTATTGATTTTGTTTTAAAACGTTTAGAAATTGTTTCTCTGTTTTAAACTGCGGCAAAACATCTCGCGATTTAATACGAGCCCTTATAAATCCGTCCCGAGCATCACAGCCATAAACAGCCATATAGGCTTCTGTTACTAACTTTATGCATCTTTCAACAGCGTGCGAATGGCAAGGAAATTTGTTAAGATGTATTTCATTCGGCACCAAAGATATCATGTTAGTTAATTTCTCATTTGATATTCTCATTGTTAAGGGGGGTTCGCTGATATTAACACTTTGCAAGTCAATTAAAATTATATTTACTCACTTAAAATATTCTGACGTCCGCCTCTGTTCTTGAAGTTCATTTCCGACACTTTAAAATTCTTCATAAGGCCAACTCTTGAATATACTTTCTATTATCTGCTAACATTGCCAGCAAAAGGTTTTCTGGATGACCAAAATATCCGTTTCTTTGTAATACAGGATCAATTACTTTTTTAAGGTCATCAGAGAGGTAACGAGATCTTTTGATCATGTTAAAAAAGTGCCTAGAGCCATTTTTACAATACCAATTGCTTTTAATTTTAAACCAATATGGTGAAACATATAATCTTAATATTCTATTGGCTGTTGTAACCCATCTAGCGTGACCAATTTTTGTTATAACTCCATTAGTGATTTCTTGACATATCTTATACAAGTATTTTTGGTCGGTAGTGTTTTATAATCGACCAAAGGTAACACCGTAAAAATTGTTTAAATATGTACAATAGGTAAGTTTTCACATGCCTTAAGCAACTTGCCAATTGGTCCAGAAAATTTTTTCGGTCCCGTAGTTTTACCGTCCAAATGGTTTATTAAATGTCGTAGAGGAAGCTCGTTAGTATGTAGTAAACAAACAAACAATCGTAACGGCTTCTTTAGATCCAGTTCCAAACCACGAATGACTCCGTTTTTTAAACCTATATTTACCACTGTGCCATTGCAACCAATGGCCAAGAGATTATTTATATCAATGTATTTATGTGCAAAGTCCAAAATTGATATCCTGATTGCTCTGGCACTTCCTGATGTCGGCGTAACATGTCCTATATATCTTGACCCTGGTTCAGGCACTAAAACATAATGTTCCTCAGTAAGTGTTTTTTTATAAAACGCATCTCCCTTTTTTTTCCTGTTCCAAAGCCTTGTCCCTGCGTCCATCAAAATAAATTCTGTCGTCAAACTTTGTTTTAATTTATCTCGACTTTTAATCCTCTCCCTTCGTATTTTACTGCGATCCACAATTTTCGAAGGATCTGTGTCTGATATAATCCCAACATCCTTTAAGACTTACTAGAATTGCTGCTGATCTTTTAGAAATTTTAGTCTGATCACAAGCTATAGCTTAAGTTGGCCAATCAAGTCGCATTTGGGAAAATTAAGCGTTTTTAGTTTCAGAGGTCCGAAAGCTTGAATCTAAAGAATTGGTAGTTATCTTGGAGTTGACGGAATTCCTTTTAATTGTTTTTAATTACTCTTAGATACAGAACTTTGTACTAATTTTAACTTGTTTTCCGTTGGGTTAACTTCTAACAACGATGATCGAGATCGCCTAGCTAATTCCTTGGCCTTTCTTTCAGTGGCTTTTTCAATTTTCTTTGTTGTTTGAACATCTACGCTGCCAATGGCCATTTGTCGGTTTGTTCTTTGATCTATAAGAAATTGTGTTTTGGCTACAGGTATTTTGGTTTTACATTTGCAAGTAAAAAAATCGTTACATTTGCAGGTGGTAATATCAAAAGGTTTTTCTCTGCAGATTCGCTATACGCTATAAGTTTTTTATTGTAATTATCCTTATACTTGGATTTAAGACCTTTTTTAATTGCTTTGTATTTGGAATGATATTCTTTTCAACTTAAAATTTGCTAATCTGAAATTATAGGGATTAAGCTTTAATTAAGGGGTCAGAAACGACACGCACGCTGGGTTCCTGTTTGTTTAGGTTAATGTTTTCTAACCTTAACCACAAATAATACCTAAAAACATCGGCGTATGTTGGTAAAACATTGTCTTTAAATTTTTAGAACACACCAAAAATGGGACATACAGCGTCTTTGCGCGTTCTAGGCATTTTATTGCCAAAATAGTATCAATCTCAAAATATTAAAATATTTATGAACGCACTCTAATACAAATACCATTTAAAATAAAACACGTGAACGTAACATGTCAGTACACGAAACACAATGCAATACTTCCACTAATAAAAACAAATGCGACTGTTTTAATATTTTGATGTACCTCTCTACTCGGTGACGCGCGAGGGCGGGTCGGTCAGATTAAATGGTGGGGTACATTGTCAGATTGCCCGGATATATATTCTGAAAAATTTGTTCGATTTCGGCAGCCGAGGATATTTTTTTTTGGAAATTCAAATTTTGCCATCTTAACGAAGAGGCAAATGGGCACTTTGACATACAGGCGTTTTAAACTTAAAAAATTCACTCAGCCCTATTATGCAGGTACACTAAAATGAGCAAAAGTGAGCGAAACCAAGACAAACCACCCCGCCCCATTGGGCCCCTCGCTCCATTGAGCAATAGAGGTATAAAATATCTAAGGGCAGGCTGGATTGTGAACCTGCATAACCTCAAATTACCTGATTTTAAAAATTGCATTTTCCGCAATTTATGACGTTGTTTTTGATAATTCATGCTTATCACTTCACTTTCAAATTCTACGTCTATTAGATTCGTGTTTTTGGCTCGCTACATGCTCTTTTTCACAGAAAATCACTTCAATTATCAGCCCCTTTTTTAATTAATTACGTGACAATTATACAACTTTTTCACCCTGCGCCGATTGTTTATGCACTTTTACATCCCTCCACACCTATTTTTTGCATTTTGGCAACCCCCATGCCGTTTTTCGGAAAAGTCGCTAAAGTGTAAATTTAATGTGTTCGCATTAATTCAGGAAATAAATTTATGGTTAGCGAGTATACCCTTTTGCTAGCATATGACATGTGCTGGCAAAAGGGTATACCCACAGAACTGATTCATTCTCTTCTATATCGTTAATTGTTAGTGTTCGTAATTCTTCCCCTCGCATTGCTCCATTTAAAGCAAAAATTAATGCCACTTTCATAAATAGATACGATTCATTTGAAGCGTAATTTAGAAACTTCATAATTTGTTCAATTGACAACCCTTTTGACTTTTATTTATTCTTTTTTTTTAATGCAATTAATTGCTTGTGTTTTGAAATGTCACTGCTTTCATATATTTGCAACGTACTCTTTCTTCAGCATCGAATATTTTGACCACAGTGACGATGCCTTCAGATATTTTAACTAAAAATACAAGAAAAAATTAGAAAATTTATTTTTTAAAAGCATTACCTTTCCAAAAAACACGCTAGCATAACACAAGTTTTATCATATTTGTCTTTTGACTTAGATGGAAGCAGATTTTGAGTCGCTTCTCTCGCGGCTTCCAAAATACACCCATTTTCTTCAAAAACACTCATCTTCCGACAAAATTCTGTTTTTATTTAATTTGTTGTAATGCGTTGCTACGGTTTACTTTTCATAAACAACTATGTTAAAGATTGTAAAAAAACTATTTTTGTTAAAATATTCTTAAGTTTTCCACTTTTTCCATCAAGGATACAAAAAATAACATGTTTAACTCGTAAGAAATGTTCGTTTTCCAGCTCGTGAAAATTGTCACTTGCGTTTTACGAAAAAAATAATTATAATTGAGTATACTCATAAAAACTCTTGGTTATTTAAAAATATATATATATATATATAAAAAATTGAATTAAATGTACAGGGTCCTCAGAAATTAAGAAAAAATTAAAATCCTTTAAAAAAAACAGACCTGTAAGGGCTAAATTGACTTTAGATTCAGTTTAAGCGGGCGAAAATACATAAGAATCACTCTTTTTTGTGGGCCTGCGAAATTTTACAATAAAAACATGTATTTCGTATTTAGACTTTAATTTAATTTTTTTTATAAAATACTAAATAAAGGTACTTCTCTAGAAGTATTTTCAGGTTTTCATAATTTCGAAGCACCCTGCACGTTTAATGCAAAATTTTATCGGGAGTTCTCTTCTCCCTTAAAGCATTCTCACGTTTTCTTCATTTCTGAGGACCCTATACATTTGGCTTAATTTTTTATAATGGAAATCTCGTTTTATAAACAAGCAGGACTTTTTATGAAGAATATTTCTTTTTTCATAAAATAAAAAAATTCGTATTCCCATACCAAAAAATACCTTTAAGAAATTATATTATTTTCTTTTTAAATTAAAATGCAGTAGGAAATCAATTTTTTTTTAATTAAAAAAATGTCAATATACAATACAATACTTTATTACAAACAAGATCCATTACTTTAGGATGGTGTAAAATCACTTGTATTATATAAAATAAAGTCTTACATTATACTCTAATTAAAATACAGGTTATCCAGTGGAAATTTTACGGGTTTAAATTAAAATATATTTTTTATTTTTTTAAATAATTTGTTAATTTAAAAAAAAAATTGTCTTTGGGAAATTATTTATAAAAGGCAACAACACAAATTGTGAGTCACAATCAAGCGAAATCTAAAATTCCTCATTAGCTTAATCAAAGAAGCGCATTTTACCACCAGGGTTACGTAAACTAAATTTAAGGTTTTCGACGGCTCTGTCAACGGAATTATCGGCCGATGACGGGCGGTAACCGTAAATTCAGAACGCTACCTGCAAATGATAAACAACTTTCTAGAACCTTCTCTTCGTCGTCAGATGAGCTTTTAATAGAGACAAGAATTAGACTTAGTTAATGCAATAAGAAGCCATGGAGCGGCTTCGTCAATTTTTTTCGGATCTAGTCAATTAAAAAAGGACAACTTTAATTATGATATTACATAAATTATTTTTAAAAACAAAAAAGTTATTTTAATTTAAAGTTATATTATGAAGTTCTGCACCATAAAATTTTTCACTTTCTTTTCACTCCATCCAGGTATTTGATTAAGGTCTTCTATTTTAAAAAATGATCCTTTAAGATTTCTAAAAAAAAGTATTAAACTGGGTGTTAAAACATATCACATATTCCTTGGACAATAATAAAAGTCTATATTAAAATTATGATTATTATTAATTCATAGTCTTAGGCGTAGGCGTAATTTTTTGTAACAGGGAATTAAAATACAAATTTTGCAAAAAAACAATGAGTAATCGAGTTTTATCAAGAGTGCCTTTTTAAGCAAATAAGTTAGGCAATCTAATTGTAATTTTAAGCATAATGCCTTGTCTACATTGGCGTAGGAGTTATTTAAAAAAAAACACGCCTATGAATGGATATTAATCAAAACTTCAGGGCCTCTAGCGCCTAAATTAAGCAACTTTGTACTAAGGTAAGTTTACTTAACTCAACTTATTTTGGCCCTAGAATTATGTGGTAGGTTTTTATATATTTATATGCTTTATTTGTTTACATATGGAAAACTTTTTTATTATAAATTTACACGAAAACAATTTACTCTCTTTATAAATAGGTCTGTTCCCTAAAAAAATTGCATATAAAATATAAAAATGTATAACTGGCCTAAGAAATACCTAAGCGAATGTAGCTTAGAATTAAAAGTTATATCTAAGTTTTAATCTATTGACTCCTATTAAAAAATCTTAATATTTTTAAAATAAATAAATACCGACAAATATTTGAATATTAGTAATTTTAGAATTATCAAGAGTTTTTTAATAAGAGGCAATGGATTAACGCCTAAAATTTTAGCGGTTGAAAAAATGGTAACTCAAAAAGATTTTGACGGTTTTCGTTAAGGTTCGAAATAGGTATCTTTCCGAAGCACTTGTTCGAAAAGTTAGAGATTTCCGGTAAATGACCAAAATTGAACAGAAAAAAAAATGGGCCTTTTCGACACCCGAAAAAATTGAGTCCACGAGTGCCGAAAATGCCCAAAAATACTACTTTATGATTTGGCATAGTAAAAAAAGTTGTGAAAGGGGTAGAAAATTCAGCTGATTTTTTTTCAAACTTTCATTTTCAATTTGTCATAAATAAATCTTTTAGGTATCAGTTCATTTGTGACGCAAAAATTAATACATTTAAAATTTAGCCACGCCCCATGGCATTTAAAGTTCAAACATAAAGCACTTCGCTTGAAAAAACAATAATAATATATTAATGACATTACTCAGATAACACCAGATTTTATTTAAAATATCATGCGATGATTTTCATCATTCATCATCTGGGGTACAGATAGTGTTGCCACTCGTTCATTTTATTTCGTATTAGGTGGCTCCGTCATTTCGTACTAGATTGTACTAAATGCTTTACGGGTGAAATTGGCCACAGACGGCAGCACCAATAATTCATATATTTGGTTTTGTGTTACAAATATTTGTATGACTGCACTTTTAATTGAAAAAATAAACTATAGCAGACAATTAATAGTATATTATTATACGAGAGATAATGCAGGCTATTATTCAAGATGGTGAGGTTTACGTCTCGAGTCGCCAGACGAGAGACCTAAATCATTCGAGTGAATATTGCGCATAATCTCGAGTGTAATACTATACTTTATCTACTTGAATAAGTGAAAAAATTAAATGATTTTCAAAATTAAATACAATAAATAAAATTAAATAAATTAAATAAAATTAAATAAAATCTGACAGCTGTCAAATGGTTAACCTCACTTTTTACCAATTTTAAATGTTATTATAGTGGCCTTTTCCCAATTTAAAACCCGATTGGTTCAAATCACAGTGAATATTTAAATCGGCCAATCAGTGATGCCTAACAACGTGAATAATGAGTTTATTATTCACGTTGTTAGGCAGGAATTTTATAATGAACATTTAACAATATTTGCTCTGGAGATTTTACTAAGCAAACTTGTCATGCGCCAACCATTGTAATACAAGCATGGGTTATTTTGATACCAGGGTAATTCACATTTTTTTATACAATAGAAAAGGGAAAACGTGATAAAATTGACTTCTTTTATTGAAATTTTATGATTTTTATGATAAAATGCGAATTTATGACCACACGAAAAAAAATGGAATGTTATATTTTATTGTTGACAATTTACAGTAAGCCTAAATATAAAATTCAGTCAATCTAACCATATGGGTTATTGCGGTTAAACGTAAAATTACTGTTGAATGTTTTATTGTGGCTTTTACTATATATCCAGTTTAACTAGATAGTTTAGTTAATTTAAATAAATGAATTTTTACAGTAAAATTTAGTTACTTTTACTGTATTTTTTATAGGAAATGAATATAAAAAGGACGACATCTGTGTTAAACAATAGCAACTTGCTATAAGCAACGTATACAGCGCCCAATCAAAGGGCCTCGCGCTTACGCTATAATAATTAAGGCAGGGGTGGTCAGAAGGCGTTCAACAAGTATTGGGAAGAGGTTGTGTTTGTGTTGTGTCTAGAGGGATTAGTGATACATAAAACTTGTAAGGTACAGTCGAGTGCAATAAGTCAGTACCAAGGCAATTCAAAAATCGCTTGCGATGCTCAGTCATAGCTCCGCCTAATCTAGTATCTTAACCACCTAATTTATTCTGTCTTAACCAAGGTCACATTATACCACTGCGATACACCCTTCGGGGTTTTTTATATTTAGTCCATCTGTTCTTGTCTCCTGTGTTTATTCCACAGACAGTCTGTGGTTTATTCTATGTTTACACGGATTGAAAACTATTTACGATGCAGCGGCATATTTCAGACGAAACCCGTATGCGAATTACGTTTTTGCATGAGGAAGGGCAAAATATATCGCAAATATCAAGAGAATTGAATATTTCGATAAGAAAGATAAATTAAAAGGAAATACCGTAAAACGGGGCGATTTGAAACTCTTTGCAGCGCTTGACCAAAATCCAGGCTACTATCTAGGGGTTAAAAATTGAATATCAAAATATAGCTATAAAATATAACACCAAGCATGCTAGTTAGATTAATTTATATCTGTTGATTTTATTGTGCACCTCCATAAAAAAAAATAATTTTTTAACACACTTTCTTTTATACAGAGATTCCTAAAAAGGCTTTAATAATGACATATTTTTTCCTGGACAGTAATTTAGTAGGCATTCATATTCTAACGGTTAGAATCTAATCCCAAAATTTTATATTCATGTCAAATTTATTAGTGGCGTATTATTTTTTTTTTTTTTTATTTCAGGGGCGACTTAACATATAAAAGAAAGCCAGGGTCGAAACTTAAGAGACTCAAGTAAAGAATATAAAATTGCGTTTAAACTTTATATAGAAAAAATAAACGAAAGCACACAAAATTATTTGTTGGTCAAACCGAACAGTAAACTGTTTTTTCCTAAAAAAAAAACTATTTTTCTTTAAAAAAAACGAGTTTCGTAGCAGGATATATAAAATATGATATTCTTTCAAGTCGCCCCAATATTTTTCTACTAACAAATACAATGTTAATGCGCTCCAGCCTGGGGCGACTTAAAGAAACACCCGTTATATATTTTTTCTTGAGAGTAGAGGGGGGTACAATTTTTTAGATATTTCACCCGGTAGCCACTACCCCAAAGTAATCTAAAATATTATTTTATTTCAATCAAATCGTCATAGTGATGGCGGCCTGTGCTCAAATATTCCAAAAAGTTTATCAAGTCGCCCCGTTTTATGGTACTAAATTAATTATTTCATTATTTTTTAATTTATTATAAATATTTTATTCAATTTTTTTATATTTTTTAACGCTTATATTTTTTAATTTTTTAGAGGGTGTGCGTGCGTAGGTGGGTAACAAATTTTAGATAATATCTATATTATTATATTGCGAATAAGTTAGTATCATTTTATGCCAAAAAGACTATGTTTAACTTTAAAAAAGTCTAAATTATGTAATATATCTATTGGTATTGATAAAATTAAAAAAATATATTATTACAAAAATAACGCCAAAACTCATCAAAATAAATATGAAACAATAAATCTTATACCGGTTCAGGTAAGAAATACCCAAATAAGTTTGTTTACGTTAAGGCAATAATTTTCACCCCACCACCTCGCAACGGCTGCAAGCGAATATAAGCCTTAGGGTGGTACTGATTCAATGCACTTGACTGTACGTTAAAATGCATTTAATCATTAAAAATAACTAAGTTTACTAAAATGGATTTGTACTATAAATTGTGTAACTAGTGCGGTCAAGACTCGAGTCTTCCAAGATGGATGGCGTGGGTTGTTTTTTTATCTATAATTAACTAGTTAGGTACTATAAAGTCATAAATAATTTTGCTTTATTTTGTAATTTTACTGCTACTTTTAGAGATTTTATAAACTGGCAGATAAATTATTACATTCTTAAACTTTAAAAATCTTTTGGCATTTATCTATGGTTACATTTAAAAAAATATAATCAAATTTTGTGTGTAAGCAAGACCAGATCGCCGGAATTCCGGCCGGATCGGGACCTAAATTTAAAATGTATGTGCATGCCTATTTTTATACTTAAAACATTGAAAATATTGAGGCTGATTTATTTTTACTTTTTTTAAAACTAACTACAGTATGCAGAGTGTTTATTACTATTAATGTTACCTAGATAGAAATTACTGTTTATTTAAATATTAATTTTTAATTAGCGTTAACAAAATTAAAACAATTCTACTCATTCAATTCGAGAATAGCAGCCACCTGCCAATAATAAAAAAATTAAAAAGAAGTCGAGGAACCACAGCCGCCAGTCTATCATAGGCAAGGAAACAAGCACACCCTTCACTGTTGACCAATTATAAAATATATCTTGTCGAAAGTCGGGGCATCCCAGACGCGAAAGTCGGGGAATCACAGCAGTGGCGGACATATAATCGGGCAGTTCGGTGCAGTGCCCGGGGGCCCCGGTCATATAGGGGCCCCCAGACATAAAGAAAATTCTTAATTATACATTAATAATAATTATTAATACACCATTTCACGCCTACTAAATTATTGAGAACCACGCCACCTATTAGTAAAGCTCGAAAACAAGGCTTATACTCTATG